CATACAACAGTTCATAGTTGCGAACACCAAGCATGACCTCAATGTTGGAGCCTCTAAGTGCCTAGAGAGCATTAGTCTGGATAATAAAGCCTCATTCTTTGGATATTTAAATTAACTGCAAATATAAAATTTGTAGAAAATAAAAATTGAACCATGTTAAACACTTTTCAAAAGTTTAGGGGGGCAGCTCAACCATAGATATAAGACTCATGTCCTTTCTGGTGTAAATTGTCAAAAGAATGAGGTCGGTGGACGCCTTGAAGTCTGGTGCTTTCGGCTCCGTATGTTGGCAATCCAACATGGAATCAAGGAAACAGCCAAAATTTTGAGTTAGAGGTGGTAAAATCCTAAAATTTTTTTTGAGTAATTTAGGTTTCATTGGCAAAACCCTGCTTTTAGCCCCTCATCTTATAAAGTTTGAAGGTTGTAGTTCCTCACCTTATATCATGATACTTTTAACCTCTTATCTTATATTATGATACTTTTAACCTCTCTCTTATTAAAATTAAAGAAAATAGTCATCACTTTATAACATTTTGTTAGTTCCATTAGTTAACTGTTAACTCTATTAGCTGACTGTTAGTTGATTGTAAGTTGACAAAAACCTTCTTTTAGCTAATAAAGTAAACAGAACTAATTTTATACTATTTTGTTAATTTTATTAACTGGCTATTAGTTGACTTTTAGTTGACAAAAATCTACTTTCAACTAATAGAGTTAATAGTCAATATAAAGTGAGAGCTATTTTCTTCGATTTTAATAGATCAAGAGCTAAAACCTATAAATCTAGTAAAGTGAAGAATTAAAAGTGTTATTATATAAGGTAAGGGGTTAAACTTTAAATTTGATAAGGTGAGGGGCTCAAAATAAGTTTTTGTCGACAATATTAATCTAGTCTTTCTCACAGTCTTTCATTATCTCAATCTCTATGATAAATTTGATAAGGTGAAGGGCTCAAAATAAGTTTTTGTCGACAATATTAATCTAGTCTTTCTCACAGTCTTTCATTATCTCAATCTCTATGGCGTTAACCGGAGCCACATCCATCAAAGCAATAGCTGAATCAGGTGACTTCACCTCCTTCCCTTCCAACTACACCTTCACGAATGATCCCCATAATGAAGCTGATCCAGATCCAGAAGAATCCATTCCCATTATTGATCTCTCCCTCCTCACCTCTGGCTCTGCTGATCAACGCTCCAAGATCATCCATGATCTCGGCGAAGCTTGCCAAGAATGGGGAGTTTTCATGGTACGCCAATTTATTTATTTTTTTGTGCAATTCGTGGTATGCCAATCTGACATGCTTAATGATGATGGTAAGCATAAATATGTTATTTCAGTTTAATAATTTTTTTTATTTTTTTTATTTTTTATTTTTTGACAAAGGTAATGGTTAGGAAGTTAATATGAGTATGAGTTAGTATGAACATTCCACCCCCTCAAATGAGACGCACGATTATCAGACCGCTTTTTTATGGAGTTTACGACGGTGGTAGAGTTCGAAACTCTAATCACCGCCTCACCCAAGCACTAAGGCTTGGGGGCGAACCATTGGGCCACAGACCCGGTTCGTCAGTTTAATAATTTTAGTACTATTTAAATTAATATTTTTAAAAATTAATAATTAGATCAAAAATTTTATTTATATAGATTAATTATATTAATTTT